AAAGAAATTGACAATTTCAATCTTTTGTTCATAGAAAAATATCTTCTATATCATTTACACAACGATAGGAAAATTCTACAGTGTTTAACTGAAACTTCTGTGAGCTTAACAAGGCTTTCAAATATTTTCATTCTTGCACTGGAAATTTTAAAAGATTTTAGGAAGTTAAACATTTGAACTTTCCCCTAAAATCGTAATCTTTAACGTGCAATACTGCCAATATCTTTCACTTTGTAAATTTTTTAAAAATTGGTTTACTTATTTATGCATTGAACCATGTCTAACCAACGCTGATGGATTGCACCCCAGCAGATATTACTTCTGGCTGCCCATTCAGCTTGGAATACTAAAATAAAAATAAAGATGACTACAAAATAACAACAAAAAACACAAAAAAACAGTATAGTGCAGTAGAAAAACATACAAATAAATAGCAGCAAATTTATATATGGAAACAAATAACTATTTGGTGTCTACTCACAAAAAATTCAACAAGATATAAAAAGATGTCTAATTTCTGGCAGAAATAGGGATTGCTGTTTGTATTCGATAACATCGAGAAGCTTATTGTAGTAATTGCTATTAAGAATAAATGAAGTCTATATATAATAAAAAACGTTGATAACAGTTGCAGACATGCTAAAGTAAGATGAACCAAAAACATACAATTTAGAAATTAATTTCTTGGGCTCTTGATAAAATTGCTGCAATTATCTATTAGCAATTAGCCCTCAAAAATGTTTTAGGATTATGTCAATTCCCTTTTATCTACATAATTCTCTAAGAATTTTATAAAACAGTTGCTACAACTTGTATTGTAATCATACTGAGACACCAAAAAATCTTTGTCGACGGATCAGTAATTATGATATTCAAGAAAATCCAGTAGGTTTTAATAACATAGCTATTTTACTTAGAGTAAGCACCACAAAAAATGGTTCCAGCAATTGTGGTTGGATACGTGAAGCAAATGCAGGAAGTAAGCAATGTTAATACAAAGTATTTAAGTTTGTTGATGTGGCAGCTTACATAAATTCAGGCTGTGGCGTAATTTATCTATATCCTGTCATATTATTGAGATGTTTATTCCAACAAATATTTACCATAATGTTTTTACTATAAGTGACATAAATGCAAATTCACCTGAACTAACTATTTACTACAAAATAAAAGCCTGTAAACATATCCCACATTATTGTGGTATAAATAACTTTTATGAATTCAAAACTACTTTGGCAACCTTATCATCAGAATATTTTAAATATTCAAAATACAGATATTAAATAGCACATTGTTATAAATTCATGTTTTCTTCTCCGTTCCTGATAAGATTATAAAACAAGTAATGCTATATTTAATTCTACTACATGTTCACATTATGAACATAAATTATTTCATTATAAGTGGACATATACTCTAAATCTTAGTTCTATGTTTTAAGTGCTTTTAAAAATTAGTCTTCTAATTACAGTCCAGAATGTTTTCATATTGCATGTGTAACAGCCTAAATACTTTACAAAAGCGTTATGTTCTGTCAGGGAAGCAGGTCTAGCAAACTGAGTTGGGGTCCTAATAATTAAGATCACTTTTTGAAGCCTACTTATTTTCTAGCTTAAGTGACATCTTCTAAGGTCATTATAGTTATTAAGTGAAAACACTGCCTGAGTATGCTTCTCTAGATGAAACAGACTAAAATTCACAAGAATTTATCATATTCACCATAGGTCATAATTTACTGAAGTTCCAGCATAATACAGAGAACACTAGATTGAGAATTACAAAGCAGACTGTAGAAGACAAGACGACTAAATCAATTACCACTGCTGGACTTCTGTTTCTTTGCCTATAATAATAAGGGAAGTGAAGGCTGGATAATATCCTTCAAGTTCCTTTCAGCTCTCAAGCTGTAGTACTTCTAGTGGAGATGGACGATAGGAGAGTTTTGCTCAAACACTTGATTAGGCCAGATCAGACCTGCCAACAGATGATAAACAACCCTGTAGTTAAAATAATCCTGTGTGTGGGCATTAGCCTTTGTGAAATACACATATAAATAAATGCATGAAAGTATCTGTGTGTGTGTGTGTGTGTGTGTGTGTATTAGCACTTGAATCCTTCAAGCAACTGCCTTAATGGATTTACATACCTTTATACATTTGAAGTCAGTTTTCATATAATAAATATAATAAATGCTCTCTTAAAATGATCAGTTACCCACACTCTTTTCTCTTGGCAGGCCATAAAAGGAAATTATTTCTTAGGCTGTTTACTCTGCCTCAATTTTGAATGGAAACATTGGTTTAACAATCACAATTCTTGTGAATATAAAGTCTATTTCAAATATTCCTCATTCTATTTACACAGTGCTGATACAAATCAGATGCTCAATAAAACATTTCAAAATGGAAAAACCATCCTAAAGCAGAAAGGGAAGGTTTTCCCAAACACTTCTTAGCATTTACAAAAGCCCCTTGATTCACCACTGTAGACTTCCACTTATCAGAATAAAAGTCAGCATTGTTTTCTTAAGTGTGTGGGGGTGTGGGGTTGGGAGGTAGGGGTGGTTACAGAAGCAGGGCAGTGGCTCAAATATAAGAAATTTGGCATTTTATCACACAATATTACACTGATATGGATGGAGGCCAGAACTACTTGGTGTATGAAAGCCAGTATTATTTCTAGAAACCTACTTAGATTGATATACAGGTTAAAAAATTCTTACATATAATGGATAAAGTCTTACCTGTTCAGTAAACAGGGAAGTATAATTAGCATCTTCATTTTAAGAAGTTGTGAAGGATAATTTAAATTTAAGAGCCTAATAAAGAAGCTTTAAAAAAGGATATTTTCTGTACATAAAAATACTGATAGAGAGTAGTTCCCAGATGAAAAATTCACATATGAACAAATGTAATTCTAAACTTCTAGTACATTGTAATATCATTTAAAGACAGGCATTAATGATTTAAAGAGGCAGCGGTGCTCACTGCCAACAAATTATTAGAGTCAACCTCGGAAGTGTAAACAAAGCCCTAAATTAGAGAATATGCCAACCATGACCTTTGTCTATGTCTACACAACTGTATCTTTTTGTCTATGGTTGTCAAATTCTGTCCATACACTTAGAACACACAGATTTTATTTTTTAATTCAGGTGAAAAACTGCCAAAACAGTTATTTAATACATAGACCCCCAACATGAGTTTACTTTTTCACTTTTCAACTTATCATGATGTCATACAGCAGCCTAAATTACATTTATCTGTTGGTAGAGAATGGAATGTTCAAATAAGATTCTAGTTAATTTACTTTCTTATACCCTCTTGACTGAAATCAGGAAATAGATAAGAGAATTTCTTTTTGACATAAAGGCTATGTTTACTTCTCTCTTTAAAAAAAAACTTAAAATATTTTAATATGATCATTTATTTGGTTATCTTGACTATTAACATTTAAGAGCTTAATTTCCTGATATTTATTTATTTGTTTGTTTTGTTTTTTGAGACAGAGTCTCGCTCTATCACCCAGGCTAGAGTGCCATGGCGTCAGCCTAGCTCACAGGAACCTCAAATTCTTGGGCTCAAGCGATCCTCCTGCCTCAATTTCCTGAAATTTATTATTATGGATTTTGAACATCTGAAGTGACATTATTTAGATTATACTGAAGATTTTATATGTACATTTTCCCTGTTATACTAAATAGCATTCCAAAATATCTACCATTTGATTTTAAACTTTATTAAGCCTACACAGAAATATTCAGAAACCACTAGGAAATGAATTTTTTAAACCACAATTCATACAAAATAATTATATAAAATAACATTTGAATAGGTGAGCAAATTTTCACTTATCTTTAAACTGGGCAATTTTAAAGTTCTATCTTTCTGTAGACTTCGAAACAAAACAAAACAAAACCCAAAGAGGAAAATATACACATCCTTAATGGGAATCAGATCCTCCATCAGTCTGCACAATCAAAAGTCTCCTTATCAACATGCTCATAACTTAATTAGTATATATAGACTGGAGTAATTTAATTATACACAGAAATGACAAGAAAATCCTCATTTTAGTCATTGAGGGATTACCTTTAAAAATAAATCAATAACGTTTCATTCCTTGTTTGAAGAATTTCGATCAATAGATCGGTGTGAACAAAGCTTGATATTAACTGAAATGAGTGCTGAAGAGTAATATTTTAATTACAGATAGGAACAAATCACAACTGCTCTAACTTTAGCTCAGAGTATCAACATAACATTAACGTACATGTTAAGACATCATCTCTAAAGTTAGGAATAAAATAAATATGAAATTTGAATAAAGCATCTTTTAAAGTTGAGCTGCTAAACTGTAACCCCTGTCCCTCAGTAAAGGAATGTGCAGATTTTAAACAATTCCATAGCAGCAGAGCGTGCACTCAGTAGAACACAAATTATCTTTGCTTCTTATGGCAAATCACAGTATTAAGTAAGAAACAGAATTTCCTTACCCTTCTTTGACTGCCTAACACTCACTATAAGAAGCTGTTTATATGTGAACTTATTCAAAATGCATAAAAATGTAAGAATGTACAATATACATACATACCTCCTAGTAGGGTCAAATGAGTGCCTTTTCATTAGACATGCAAAGATGTCTCAAGGCACTTAAGGGGTTAAGACACAATGCATGCATTCCTTTACATCAAGCATGTGAAATCACATGATTTGGAATAAGCCGACCTTATGATAAATATAAGTTATTAAATCCAAGAAAATTTGTAGATTCATATTTATACTTTCTATAAGATGCTGGTAAATGGACAATGTGCAGCATTTCCTGGGAACAGCAAATTCCACCTGTCTTCTGAACAGCAGGTCTCTATAGGGGGTGTGTAGGGAAAGATGTGCTGCATCCATAGGCAGTGTATTGGCTAATATTAAGAATGATATTGCTAAAATTTCAAAAATAAAATCTGGCAATCAGTATAGTAAGTACAAGAACCACTGGAAAAGACCAGAGCTGACTCCTGATGTTTACTTCTTTTTGCTTTCAAGATACAGGTGTATAACAGAGATGATGAGAATTCTGAGCCTTGCTTGTGGCAATTCTACCAAAAGGGGACTGTATGGCACCACCACAAAACTTCATAAATTACCCTGAACATACTCAGTTATTCACTATTTGTTCGGAGCAAAGCATGAAATAGTCTTCAAACACATTGAGTTATAGATTGTGAAAGAGTGACTTTTTTAAAACATAAAGTGCAAAAGTGCTGAAGTTTTCAAAGTTTTTTTGAGTTCTTCTTCTTTTTTTTTTTTTTGTTAGATGCCATTTCCTGCGGGCAGTATTATGGCACAGTGAGTAGAAGGGAAAGCAGTTTTCCAACACATATCCCAGACCTTTTGCTTTCTTATTTATTTGATGTCGTTAAGGGTTTAACAAAGCCTTCTTCATAAACTTTCAAAATAGCTTCACATACAAATCTGTATTGACTCTGAAAAATAAAACATAAAAAATACAATTGATCAGAAAAATCAGAAATGGAACAAAAAAAGACAAACATCTCACTTGGCTTACTTATTAAAAAAATGACGGTAAAACGCTTTTGTTGGCAAAACTCATTCGTATGTTGCTGGAAGAGATGTCAAATACTGCAACCCCTATAAAGGAGAAGATGGCAGCATCTAACAAAATTAAATTAATTTACCTTTTGACCCAGCAATCCCACTTCTAGGAATCTGTCCAAAAGATAAACTAGAAAAAGAAATTGAAAACACATATTCACAAATGAGGCTATTTATTGCCTGATTATGATAAAAAAGGTAGAAATAATCCAACTGCCATCAATAGGGACTGGGTAAGTAATCCATTGTACATTCTCACAATAGAATACTACCTAGGTGGGAAAAAAAGGAATTAAAAGTCTACACACTACTCTAGAATAATTCCAGGATATTTAATTAAGTAAAAAAAAAAGCAATGTTGAAAAGAAGTATGCACAATATATTATCTTTATTGAAGAAGGGGGAATACAAATATCTATCTCTCTATTTATTTCAGTATATGTTAAAAAAAAAAAAAAAGCAACGGAAGGATAAATCATTAAAAAATGGTTTCCTACAAAGGGATAAAGGGAAAAGGGAGCAGGAGAGGGATAAAGACTGGACGGATTTCCTTAAATATACCTTCCTTCTTTTATAGATTTTATTTTGGAACCATGTACATATAGCACATAATTATAAGATTAATTTCAAAAATCCCTAAATAATGGAAACTATCATGAAACAAATTAACATGTGTATCTAGTTGATGGCATAACCACATAGAGGGAGCTACTTCAAAGGACTTTAAAAACAGTAATTTGACTGCCTATCTGTGGTAGGATGTATGCAAAGGGCGAAAGGAACTGTGAAAAAATGGAAAACTCTTTTCAGTAGCCTTATTGTTTATGGTGTAGTGTTAGTATTATTATGAAACTGTTGCTGTACAATGTGGAATAAAACAAATGAGTACTTGTGATATTCTAAGTCTTTCATTGCCGGTATTGTAGAGAACTAGTAATCTTGTTAAAAAAGAAAGGAGATGAAGATGTGAGACAAAAGAGATTAAGTAAAAATATCGCAGTCCCGAATCTACATTGGAAACATCAGCATTAACCAATGACACATGTAGTTTCCTGGCTCTGGCAATTGAACATTTTTAGAGACAAATATTATCCAAGCAATAACAATCCCTAGGCCGGGTGCAGTGGCTCACGCCTGTAATCCTAGCTCTCTGGGAGGCCGAGGCGGGCGGATTGTTTGAGCTCAGGAGTTCGAAACCAGGCTGAGCAAGAGCGAGAACCCGTCTCTACTAAAAATACAAAGAAATTTTTTTTTTTATTTCAGCATATTATGGGGGCACAGATGCCTAGGTTACGTATGTTGCCCTTGCCCCGCCCCCCAAGTCCGAGTTTCAAATATGTCCGTCCTTCGGGTGGTGCGCATTGCACTCTGTGTGTATGAAAATACCTGTCCCCTCCTCCCTCCTCCCCCCTGCCCAACATCCAATAGATGTTAAAATACAAAGAAATTAATTGGACAACTAAAAATACATAGAAAAAATTAGCCGGGCATGGTGGCACATGCCTGTAGTCCCAGCTACTCGGGAGGCTGAGGCAGAAGGATCGCTTGAGCCCAGGAGCTTGAGGTTGCTGTGAGCTAGGATGACGCCACGGCACTCACTCTAGCACGGGCAACACAGTGAGACTCTGTCTCAAAAAAAAAAAAAAAAAAACAATCCCTAGAGCTCAGAGAGTGGTACCTAAAATAATTTCTCAATAAAAACCACCAGGACTTCTTGGAGAAACTAGTGGAGAAACTAATCTGGGGAATGAAATGTACAAGCTGGGCCTGGGCATCTTTTCTGATAGCAGTCAAAGTTGCTAGGGTCTTGACAAAAGGACTCTGGAGACAAGTTGAATAGGCTCCCACTGGCCCAAAATGGGAAAATTTGGGTATCATTAAGAAAAATAACTACAATGGCCAGGTGTAAGTGGCTCATGCCTGTGATCCTAGCACTCTGGGAGGCCAAAGTGCAAGGACTGCTTGAAGCTAGGACTTTGAGACCAGCCTGAGCAAGAGCAAGGCCCCGTCTCTACGAAAAATAGAAAAATTAGCAGGGTGTGGTGGTGCGGGCCTATAGTCCCAGCTACTCAGGAGGCTGAGGCAGGAGGATCACTTGAGTCCAGGAATCTGAGGTTATAGTGAGCTATGATGATGACACTGCATTGTAGCCTGGGTGACAGAGCAAGACCCTGTCTCAAAAAAAAAGAAGAAAAAGAAAAGAAAAATATACTACAATGGGTTGAAATATCAAATATGTTTAAAACCATGATTTCAAAATAATACCAAAACAAAAGTCATCACCATTGGAGGGAAATAATGAACCAACTCATATTGAAAACATGTAAATAAAGGAAGAGAATCAAGTGTTTATCTTGCTTTTCCTATACACACTGTACCACTGGTTAACCAAACAGGAGATAAGAAGTTTCTCTTTAAAGAAGTATTCCAGCTAATAAATAAAGAAGGAATGATAGAATTAGAATATCATTATCTTACAAGCCTAGTGAATTAATGGATGCAGGCATGGATCACCAAAAGTTGCTAACATCACAAAAATAAAGACGATCAGATGTTATATGCCTCTTGAGGAAAGAACATTACCACCTAAGTTGCTTAAGCCATACAGTTACCACTTTTAGAAAACATAGAAAACACCATTTTGAGGATATAAACCAGCAAAACCCAGATTGTGGGAAACTATTAATATATAATGCAAACAAACTGGTTTGTTCATCAAATAAAATGCAAGAAAAAAAGACAAGAGACACGAGGAGGAAGTTTTAGATTAAAAGAAATTTAGGAGACATATAAACCAATCAAAATGTAGAGACTGTATTTGAATTCTGATTTTAAACAAACTCCTAAAAACAAAAACAACCCATTAAGTATGCTATGATCTCCAGCAATTCCATTTGTGGGTATACATCTGAAAGAAATGAAAAAGCAAGGTCTCAAAGAAGTATTTATATACCCATATTCATAGCAGCATTATTCATAATAGTCAAAAGGCAAAACTAATGCAAATGTCTACTGATAAACAGATGGAAAAACAAAATGCGGTATATACACGCAATAGAATATTATTCAGCTTTAAAAGGGAAAGAAATTTTGACATATGATACAACATGGATGAATCTTGAGGACATTAATCTAAGTGAAACAAGCCAATCAGAAAAAGACAAATACAGTATGGTTCCACTTATTATGAGGTGATTAGAGTAGTCAAACTCACAAAACAAAAAGTAGAGTGTTGGTTACCAACAGCTGGGAGAAAAGAAAAATGAGGAGTTGTTTAATGGGTTTTGGAGTTTTGGTTTCACAAGATAAGAAAGTTCTGGAGAATGACTGTACAACGATGTAAATATACTTAAATATTACTAAAATGTTTACTTAAAAATGGTTAAGATGATAAATTCTATGTTATGTGTATTTTACCACAATTAAAAACTTAATAAACAAGCAACATATAAAAAAAATTATACTCTCTGTCCAAGTGAGATTTATCTCAGGAATACAAGGTTAGTTTAGTTTAACATCCAAAAATCAATCAATGTAATAATGCCTTAATAGAACAAAAAGGCAAGAAACCCTACATGATCATCTCAGATAGCAAAAAAGCACTTGACAAAACTGAACACCCTTTCATGATGAAAACACTCAATAAACTAGTAACAGAAGAAACTTCAACTTGATAAAGAGTGTTTATAAAAATCCTATGGCTAATATAACTTAGGGGTGAAAAACTGAAAGCTTTATTAGTAAAACCAGGAAGAAAATAAGTGTTCTTGTCTTACAGCTTCCAGTCAACATTGTACTGGAGGTTCTAGCCAGGATACTTATGCAAGAAAGAAGGAAAGGAAAGGAAAAAAGGAAAGGAAAAAAGGAAAGGAAAAAAGGAAAGGGAAAGAGGGAAAGAGGGAAAGGGAAAGGGCCTCTAGATTGGAAAGGAAGAAGTAACCTATCTCTATTTGCAGATGACATGATCTTATAAGAGACAATCCTAAAAAATTAACTCTCACACACAAAAAACTCTTGGTTAATAAATGATTTCGGCAAGGTTGCAGTTTACATGATCAATATACAAAATCGATAGTATTCTTACGCCCTAGCAATGAACAGTATTAAAATGAAATTAAGTAAATGATTCCATTTACAATAGTACCAAAAAAGACTAAAATACTTAGGAATAAAGTTAACCAAAGAACTGTAAGACCTGTATGCTGAAAATTACAAAAAGCATCACTGAAAAAAACCCAAGATCTAAATAAACAGAAAGAGAATACTGTGTTCACAGTTTGGAAGACATAATATCATTAATACGGCAGTACTTCCCAAATTGATCTGCAGATTCAAAATTCTGGTTGCCTTTTTTTCCAGAAATGACAAACTGATTCTAAATTCATATGGAAATGCAAGGGATGCAGAACAGCTACAACAATCTCAAAAAAGGAAAACAGAATTAGGGTTTCAGATTTCCTGCTTTCAAATTTTACAACAAAGCTATAGTAATCAAGACAGTATGATACTAGCATAGGAACAGACATATAGATCAATGGATTAGAATTAAAAGTCCAGAAATAAATTCTTACATTTGTGATCAACTGATTTTTGACAAGAGCCCTGAGACAATTCAAGGGGAAAGAACAGTCCTTTCAACAAATGGGGCTGGTACAAGTGGGTATCCACATGCAAAAGAGTAAAGTTGGAACCCTACTTCAGACCATATACAAAAATTAACCCGAAATGGATCATAGTCCTAAGTGTGAGAGCTATAACTATAAAATTCACAGAAGAAAACAGAGGAATATATCGTCATGATGTTGGGTTAAGCAATGATTTCTTAGCAATAACAACAAAAGGAAAAACTGATAAACTGACTTCATCAAAATTAAAAATTTTTGTGCTTCGGATGATAAAGAAAGTGAAAAGACAGAATGGAAGAAAATATTTGCAAATCATACATCTGATAAGGGACTTGGATCCAGAAAATATAAAGAACCTGGCTCATGCCTGTAATCCCAGCTACTGGGGAGGCTGAGGTGGGAAAATCGCTAGAGACCAGGAGCTTGAGACCAGCCTGGGCAACACAGTGAGACACTGTCACTACAAAAATAAAATATAAAATAGTTAGCTGGGCACAGTACCTTGTGCCTATAGTCCCAGCTACTTGGAAGGCTGAGGTACCATGTGAGCTAGGAGCTAGGATCATGTGAGCCTAGAAGTTCAAGGCTACAGTGGGCTATGACTGTGCTACTGTACTCCAGCCTGGGTGACAGAGTGAGACCCCATCTCTAAAAAAGAAAATATAAAGAACCCTTACAACTCAACAACAAAATGATAATCCGATTAAAAAATGAGCAAAAGATTTGGACAGTTCTCCGAAGAAGAAAATATACAAATAAATGGTCAATTATCACATGAAAAGATGATTAACATCATTACTTATTAGGGAAATGAAAATCAAATTCACAATGAGATAGCACTTCATATCCAGTAGGATGGCTAAAATAAAAAAGATAATAACAAATGTTGATGATGATATGGAGAAAATGAAATTCTCATACACTGCCAGTGGAATTGCAAAATGGTACAGCTGGGTAGCAAAAATCTGGTATTCTTAAAAGATTAAACAGAATTATCAATGGCCCAGCAATTTCATTCCTGGGTATACTCAAGAGAAATGAAAAGACATGTTCACGCAAAAACATACACACAAAATTCATGGCAGCATCATTCGTATTAGCCCCAAAGTGAAAACAACTCAAATGTCCATCAATGGATGAATGGATGAACAAAATACTGTATCCCCATACAATATTATTGAGCAATAAAAATGAAGTACTGATACATACTACAATACGGATAAACCTTTCAATATTATGCTAATTAAAAGAAGCCAGTTACAAAAGATAAATTATATGATTCCTTTAATAGGAAAGGAATAGGCAGATTGGAATTGTCCAGAATAGGCAAATCTATGGAGACAGAAAGGACATCAGTGGTTGCCTAGGCTGTGGGGGGGGGGGTTAAGGTTAGGGAGGGTATGAGGAGAAATGGGAATAACTGTTAATGAGTATTGGGTGATGAAAATGTTTTAAAATTACATAGTAGTGATAACTGCAAATCTCTGTGATATACTAAAAACCATTGAACTGTACACTGTAAGAGGGTGAATTTTATGGTATGTAAATTATATTTTAATAAGGCTGTTGTAAAAAAGATGATTTTTATGAAACTACTAGAAATCTGAACACTGGCTATTTGATAATATTAAGGAATTATTAATTACATTTAAGTGGAATAATGGTACTATACTTTTGTTTAAAAGGAAAAACACTCCTTATATTTTAGAGATACAAACTAAAATATTTATGGACAAAATGATATACTGTCTAAGATTTGCTTCAAATATGGGGAAAGTGAATAGCTGTTCATATGAAATAATATGGCAAATGTTGGGTCTGAGTACTGACATAGTATTCATTATATTATATTGTCTACCTTTTTGTATGTTTGAAACTTACTACAATTAAAAACCAAAAAGATGACAGGCACTTACTAGATCATATAGGTCAATCTGCTTCAAGTAACCTTATTGATACCAACAATGTTAACATACCATAATGGCTTAATTAATATAAAAGATAATCTTAACATGAACTAAAATTCCATGATTCCTCTTTTGATTCCTAGAGTATAATTAAGATTCAGTGTAAAATACACTAAATAATTTAATTCTATTACTTTTTTTTCCTGCTGTTGTTGCAATTTAAGTTCTTATGTTAGAAAGAAAAGCAATTTCACCATAGCTGTTTCACAGAAAGCAGGTTTATCAAGACTCTCCAGATTAAGGATACTATCATTCTCAGCATTCCACTTGACCAAGTAATACAAAGCAAGTTCCTCTGCACCTGTTTAAGTATGCAATATTTAACGTGACAGGCAACTTGCATGTGGGCAAAACTTTTTCTGTAAAAGGCCAGATATTAAATATTTTAGAAATTGCAGGTCATATGGTACTGCTGCAACTTCTTAACTCCACTATTACAGTACGAAAGTGCAGCCAGACAATACATAAACAAATAGCATAACTGTGTTCCACTAAAACTTTATTGACAAAAACAAGTGGCAGGCCAGATTTGGCTAGCGGGCAATAGTTTGCTGATCCCTGTGCTAATGGTTATTTAGCTCCTGGCAAGGGACTAAAAAGACAAACATGATTTAGAATACACACTGGTAACAGAAATCATCATGTTGAGAATACACACTTGTATATGAAGCACAGTACTTACAGGTGTTTGGATCATCATGGCTCGCTGATCTCTCATTGTCCTTACAATGTCTAGTGGATAAACTGGCTGATTGCATTCAATGAGACACATGGCCGTTTCCATAGTAATAAGAACCCCAGTTCTTCCAATTCCAGCACTAAAAAAGACAAATATGGGTAGCGTCTTATTGATATTATTCTGTTAAACTACTTGTAGTTTTGTGTAGAAAATGAAGTTATAATATAGAAAGAACAATTTCATTTGAATGTTTTACATTCCAAAAGTAGCAAGCAGAATATCCTGAAAACAACAAAAAAGGTGGTCTTAACTGACTCATTTAATATAGATTAAATGGTTTATATTCCCCTCCCACCACTGTTAGTTGGGAAAATACTATTTTAAAAGAGTTACATTTCAGTTTTAAAAATCTGAACAAAGTATAGAAGTTTATTAGATCAGCCTCCCCTTGAAATGCAGAATAAAAGAATTAAAATAACAAATTAACAAATATGCAATAGACAACAGTATTTTATACGCTTATATATATCAGTCTTTTAAACAAAATTTAAACTTTACCATTGAGATAATCAATAACAATTCTTTGAAGTTTAATCTGTGAACATGAATGTAGTAGCTATTGAGGACTCGGGATGTGAAATGGCTCAATATGTTTTGCCATTCTTGCTACTTTGCCCCTCAAATATTTGGTCTACGCTCTGTTTTGATGATTTGAAAGCCTACTCTTTTTTTTTTTTTTTTTT